CTAAATTTTGACAGGAGTTTGGGGTCCTCCTTTCAAATGCTTCTAGTGGTTGTAAAGGCTGTATTTAGTAATAAGATTTTTTTTCTGTTGAAAACTAACTTTTATAAGTCATTTTTTTTCCTTTTTTTTCTAGTTGAATGTTCTGTACTAGCAAGTCTTGAAGGAGTACAGCTAAAATGTAGTGATTACGTTCACTCTTCAATTTTTCAGATCCATATCCCAACACAGCGAAGGAGTTTTCTGTGTGTGCTTATCCTATAATGTAGCAGCTCTTGGCACAGCTTCTGCCAACAGTATACTTCACACCCAGAAAATTCAGTCTCCTGGCACCAAGCTGTTAATAACTATATCTGTTATATAAACTATGTAGAGGCGGGTGCTTTCATCAATCTGTAAACAAAACTGCCTCAGCTGTGGTTTGTTTGAACTGACTGCCATTTTTCTGTGCATGACATACACACACCTTAGACTCTAAATATTAAATAATAAAATAGAAATAATTAAAACACTTACCGATATGCTTAAAAATGAAAAATGAGTTGAGATAGTCATGTAATGTGAAAAGGCACTGGTTTTCAGCAAAGTACTTATATTAATTTTAGTAAATTGAGAATTCAAAATTCAAGACCTATTTCATAATTGGAATATGGTGTTTTTTAAAAGTGAATGCTGGAAAGTAAATTATTCTCTTAACAGAGTCTAACTCACTGGTGACTCTGGACGGAGTAAATTAGAGGTCTTCCTCACTCAAAAAGTAAGACAATGAACTGCCTTCCCTAGGGAGATATTTATCCCTGTCTAAAATATCTGCAATGTCTGTGAAAGGCAGTAATGTATCATTTTTAAACAACTTATATGTACATATGTGTTCTGTTAAAATCATATGTTTTTAATTTTTATTTATTCTTAAAAGGCTTTTTATAGCTTCCCTTTAATATACATAATAATATGGGGCAGATGTAATTCATTGCTCTGTTCTAAAGAATGGCTGAGTCTAGAGTTAGATGTTTTGTTTTAATTTTCACTAAGTTCTTTAAGTTCAAAGCCACTAAAATATATTGGACTCTTGTTATCCTGCCATGTAAGCTAAATGTGCAGTATCTTCTTTCTGTTTGATATTAGCATGTTGATTTTCATATCTATTGAAATACAGATTGCAGATATAGTATATAAAAGGGCTATGCTGTTATGACTTTTCCTAAATTATGAAGTATTTCTGTATCAAAAATGCATACTAACTCATTTTTTGATGCATACAGAGTTTTACTAGCGTTCATGAGGTCCTGGTATCTTTTGGAAGAAGAGTTGTATGCTATCCCCTATACAGGCATTTCAGATTAGTGACACGTGCCATCGATGATGCAGTCATGATACTGCAGCTAGGTAAGTTCTTTAGAAATTGAAAATGATACCTGCAGTCTCACACTGTATTCTTCTGCCAAGAGATTTTTCTGTTCAAAAGGACCATTTTAATGATGCTTTTTTGGTAGGTTAGATGCTATAATTGCATTAGGCCCCTTTGAGGGTAAATAAAGTTAATTTTTGTTTCCAATACTTCTAAGTTGTATTTCCACGGAGGGTGACTTGTTTAGAGGCATAGTAGAGATTCTGTGGTTTCTGTAGGTCTTTGCTCCTCAATTATGTGACTGAAGCTCATTATCAGAAATGCTTCCAATCTCTTTTAAGTTCCATAGTTTGTCTCCATTCAAGGGTATGTGTTTGTGTAATGTGGTTTTGTTTTATTTCTTTATAAGCATCGTCTACAGTTGTTCAAACTATTCTGTCTAGTTTAGTTGTGTTCATCTTGATTTTTGGAGTCTCTTTTTGGATCACATATGCTCCCAAATCTGGGCAGCTTTGCTCCATAGCATTACCCTTTGGAAGAATTGTTCTTTTAATGTAACTACTTTTGTTGTTACTACTTACTGTAAAGTTCCCGCTTTTCTTGGCAGTTTCTTCACTCAAAATGTAAGCTTCTGGTGTTTTTTGTTTTTTGTTTATTTTCTGATTTTTGAGGCAATCCATTAGTTATATTTGTCCAACCTAAAATAATTGTAATGGATATCTAATTTTCTTAATACCTAAGCTATATCTTTGTGTACCAAACAGGATCACACGTGAAAAGGAACTGTTTGAAAGACAAGAGGTAGTTTTGTGGCTCATAGGCAGTTACTGTTTAATAGGATTAAGTGAGAAATGGTTGAGGTCCCTCTCTGGTTAGTCCAGTGGGTGATTGAAGAAGAGAAATCCTGAACTGTTGAGGGATGGTGGCTTAGGTCCTCAGGGAAGCCTAAAGGATTGATCAGAACCCTTTAGAACTTACTGTTTTATCAATGACCCCTCAGGTTCTGAAATAAGTTTCACACGTGGAAAGCATCAAAATAATTTCTTTCACATCATTGTTCTGTCATGAGCAAAGTTCAAAATCACTGATTTGAGTGTGTTATCTTAGTTGTACCATACTGACAGTTTTTCTAAATTTAAACTGAAGAATAAAAAAAACTACACTACCTATTTGTAGCTTTATATTTCATGTTCAGGAGTGGAGCTTTCATCTTCTTAATGACTGTTAATAAATCTTTCAACTGCAGCACTCTGCATTTCTAGTTTATCCTAGACTACTTCCACTTAGCAGTGTACAAATGTTTGGAACTACAGTAATTTCAGCTTCAGCTGTGCAAACTTACATAATCAGATTTCAGTTCTAAATCCTAACTTCTGTTTTGTTTCTTTTTGCTTGTTTAATTTGTAAAAACTTCTGCTATTTTTTTTGGTACCCAGTGCTAAGTGATTGGAGGGGAGGGAAATGTATGCATTTGGAAAGGGCAAAGAGGGCACAAGTGCAACCACTACATGTGTTTTATATGCATGTGTGCATACCAGCACACTGTATGTACGCATATATGTGGGGATTTTTATAAGAGTACAGTTACTTAGCAAAACTCTCATAAAGAAACCAAGAATAGTTTGCATACATAATTTGTCGGTATGCTGCTAAGTCCATTCATAGTCCTCACTTCTCTATTTACAGCACTCTGAGTTCTAGCCTCTCTATTGACAGGTAATACAAATGCCTTGAATTTAACCAGTACCCAACGAGGAACTTTATTCTTAATCATTAACTTATAGGTGGTGAAAATATATGGACCCAGGTGTATTAAATGCATTGTGTATATGTATGTGTGTATATATATAAGTGTATATATATATATAAATGCTGTGTAAAATAATGGTAAATGTTTATAAAGTGTCAATTCACTCTCCTTCAAGCCACTGAACAAAAAGTATTGTAATATGCAGACCTGGAATAGTTCAAAATATTTGCAAGAAATGCAGCACACTACTGTTACAATCTGGTCAAAAGTTTTGAGAGGAAGTAGGTTTATGTCATGTAATCACTGAGCTATTTAAAATCTTCAAGCATCTTAATAGCTAATGATTTACAAAGCACTGGAATAAGTTTAAAAACTGCAGGAGGTCTGGTTTCATTCAGCTGCAGCCTGTGCATGTCTGGCTGTGCTGGTTGCCTGGGAAACTAGTGCAGGATGGGGCGACTGGCTGCATGGGCAGAGCTGCCGATGGACCATGAAGATGCTGGAGTAACACATGCAGATATCAAAAAGGAAATGCATGCCCATTTCAGTTGGAGTCCTTACTAGGAGAAAGGAAGGTACTATTTTCAATATCCGCCGTGATAATCTCTAGGTGCTCCTTGGAAAGTGGGTGAAAACATTTAACTTCTTCATTGGGCATTAATCTATTGGAAAGGCCTTTAGAAAGTTGATAGAGCAGTGACATGTGTATTGGGAGTTAATATTGACTGGAGATTCAGGTTTTTATGTCCCAGATTAGTCTTTGCAGCTATGGAACTTACATAGTATGAGAAGCATGGAGATCTTTAACCAACTGCCATGAGTTTTGAGACTATGTAAAATTAAAGTTGTGGGCTATTCTCTGCCAGCTGTTGTAGCAGTGAGCTCCAACAGAACCCAGGGATGTAAGACACATACTCTGACTTTTATGACTTCTGTCTCACGTGCTCAGCCTCAGTGACTCTTTTCCCCTTGAGTTCAGCTCGTTCTCTCCCCAACAGCAGAGATTTTTGAATGTCAGGAAAGGCAATTAGCCAGCGTGCTTTTAAGTGTAACGAGTTGCTTTTTAAATAATCAGAAGATAGTACCTGTACATATAGTAGTATGTTTACTCAAGATAATACAAAAGTATAACTTTACATTGAGGTAGGTATACTTAGAGTGCTATTTTCATTTTTTTGAAGAACTTGAACTGCTTATGTCCTTTTATTATTTGACTGTTTAAAATGTAAATACAGCAGGTAAGCAAAACTGACTTTAAACTGGATTACCTCTTTTCCTGAAATTATCACCAAAACTTTCTTGTGTGTAATTGTAAACACTTATTGCTTCTGCGTCTGAGAGCGCTTGGCTTCTACTTGGAGAAAATGAAACTGATTGAATGTGGTGTGTCTTCACTGTCTATTTCATGGCGTTCTTAACTTGAGCATACAGTTGTTTTTAAAAAATTAAAAATAATAATAAAAAAGCCCTGAGAATTTCAGGGCTGCAAAAGAGGTTAGATTAAAAACTAGTACACAATAAGCTGTCTTTAAAACAGAAAACCTTTCAGTAAGTTATACGGGTATAACTGCCAGAAAAGCCCCCAGCCTGTTTACCCTTCAGCTTCACTTTTCTCATGTCATTTGCGATGTGGTTTCCCAAATGTCTGTATGGCCTGTGAGAAAAAACTGCGGAGGAATGGCCTGTGGAAGAGGTGTGGGCAGCAGGGAGCAGCGCCGCATGCTTCAGCTCGTGTGTGTCTAGTACTGCTGTTCCATAAGTAACCGCAGCCTGGAAGTTAGAGCCAGGTGTCTGCCAAAGACTGAAATAGTTCTTCAAAGACAGAATATGCAATTTAGAATTTCACAGAAATTGGTTAATCTGTGTTTTATGGAACACCCTTCTTTAAGGTATCAATAATGTTTGTTGCTCAGCTCTTGTTTTTTATTTTCTGTGGTCAGCTGCCAGATGCAGTTTTGTGTAAGGAATTCTTATTTATAAATGGCATCTTAAAAGGTGCATATTCTAAATGCAGAAATCCAATTTGCAGCCACTCGGATTTAGGTCCCTCATGAAATGACTGTAATCTAAAATTTTACCTTATGAAGAAAGTCTACTTTATATGGAGAATAACATTATAGTCACTGATTTACATGGTTATTTGTCTCGTAGTTGATGTAAATGTTTCAGGCTGGGAGCTTCACAGCTAGAACCAAAAAAAAAAAAAAAAAAAAGGCAAAATTTTGACTCCATGTATCATTGCTCTCTAGAAGAGTGTGCTCAACAGTCAAAATGGTCTGGTTCAGCAAACTTAGCTTGGCAAGTGTTGGTGGTCACAGAATATAGAAGTCTGTGAGTTATAGGTGGGCTTTTGTTTGCTTTTACGTTTGTTCCCAGCTTCTGTTCTTCTAGATCAGTGTATTTCAGTTCTGTTTGGCACTGCTTTTTGCTGTCCAGATTCTTTCTCCTTATTGCAACCTTCCATACTCTACCACTCCATACCCTTTTAACCGAGTGCTCTCTGCCTATAGGTTTTCAGCATTGAAGTACTTAATCAAAAATCTTGTACTTGAACAGCAAAAGGAGTTCTGATCTCTCTCTCTCTCTCTCTTTTTTTTTTTTTTTTAATCTGTAAAATGTAACTTCATCCCTGTTTGGGTTTCATAGCCTTGAAGGAGCCAGTCTCTTGGGAGTGGATTATTAGATTCCATTTGCAGTAGTGGCTGTTTTTATTTGATTTCCTGCCCCTCCCCACCCCCGTTTAACACTGGCTTTTTTTGTGTATGTTCCAGAGCTTAACCCTTTAGGAACTTTGATTAGAAAACTAAACGTGAAGGTGGCAGCTAATGGGAAGCTTTCCTCTTCAGAAGGAATGACTATGAAGAAAATTAAACTGACTACAGAATGTTTTTTGACTATGCAATAAGAAAACACTCAATTTTGATATTTTCCTGCATTTATCAACAATATGTTTAAAAATAAATAAATAAATAAAAGCCTTTTTCATTTTTAAGCCTGAAATGAGCTTTTCCTGGGCACTCAACTTGCCACATTATTTTATAACAAACAGTGAGAGGAAGTGATCCACTGAATTAAAGGTGATGGTTAGTTTAGTTGGTGAGGAATGGTGTTGCTTATGTTCACTTATGCAGTTGCTGTGGCTCCTCCTGTGCGATTGATCCTGTTGTGGAGTGTCTATTCCAGATCTTGTTTTATCAGTATGTGTATTTGTGTAGACATGTGGAGTTACAACCTTTATCTTTTTTGACAGAGGGCATACAGTGAATCAAAGTTACAAGATCATTGTAAAGAGCGTGATTACTAACCTTAAAGGTGAGAAGATGATAAAGATTAGCTATTATTTTTAATGAATTACAAAAATCAAAATCTTTTTCAGGAAAAGGTGCAGTTTTGAAGTGCCTGCTGGACATTCACAAGATTTTTAGAGAGAATGACCCTTCCTATATCCTTAATGATCTTTTCATTACAGACTATTGCATCTGGATTCAAAAAATCAAGTAAGTTCTTAAAAAGTCTTTAGCATGCTTCTAACTGATGCTTATTCATACATTAAAGAAACGCTGTATGTAGTAAATAAAAATGAATACAGTCTTTTCATTTCATAAACTTGTTTATGCAGCTATTTATACAACATAAGAGAAATTCATTCTATTTTTTTACATATTAGCATCACTGGAGAAGAATTGGCTTTTAAATAAAATTGTAAATTTTCATTCATATATCAATCTTTGGGGTTTGTGGGGGTGGGAGGGTGGGAACAAAATAACTGGAATATTGATTCCACTGCAGGATTTCCTAGAACACAGATGATTATATAGCACTTAAAGATAACATGGGGGACAACCTCCAATTCAAGACTGAATCAACAACTTATAATTGGAGTCAGAGGTGCTTAATGCCATTTACATCTGTATGAAGCAATTGGTTTATGGGCTATAGCAGTTGTACCAGCTCATTATAACACCAGTGTAAGTGCTGTGCCTGTCTGTCTGGTGCTGCCCCTTGCCAGCTTGCTTGCCCTGGTGATAAGCTTGAGCTCCCACTTCTGTTGAGAGGAGATTCTGCTGCTTCTAGGCTAAACGCCCTGCCACTTCACAACTCGGTCCTCTATACTCTTTCAATAGAGGTGGCTTTGCTTGACTTCAAGAGCTCCCCACAGGTGTGAGGAAATTCATATGCAGGTTGAAGTCTAGTTGAAAAAGTACAGTAAGTGGAGGAGAAAGTTATTTCATGCATCTTTCCTCAAAAAAGAGTCATAAAAGAATATCACTGCTGTCCATATTGGTGAATGTCTAGCAAGACAGAGGAACTAAGGTTTCCTTTAAATACAGTGGAGGAAAACTTATGGTGGATGTGATTGAAATGTTAATGCGTTTACTTCCATTCCAGGCGCATACATTAGATACCAGTTAAGCAGAACTGACAGCCTCAGGAAAGAGGGTAATTAAGCTATCTTGTTGTCATAATGACTTGGCACAATAGTTGTCTGTCATTAGGAGAACAAGAGAAAGGGGAACTGCAGAAGCCATCTCCTAATTTTAGGTTCTTACTCAGGAAAGCATGTAACCGTAGGCTTAAGCCGTCCCTGTTCAGTTTAGCAGTGAACCATGTGCTTGAAGTTAAGCAAACAGGAACACTTTTTTTTTTTCCTCTGGGAAAGGAACAGTAGTTAGTAACTGGTAGTTCCTAACCCTTAGATATGGGATGCGGAAACAAAAAACATAGAGCCAACATTGTGTCAATAGCTGATTACAAATTTGTTCTGAGATCATTGTTTGGCTGTGGCTAAATTGGATGAATAAGTGAATGTGTCACTGGGCTGGCAGAAGGAGATGTCAGTACAGTGCATCTGGAATTGGAAGTGATTAAGCTGCTGAATAAAACGCATGCAGGTGTCTAATAGTCCATTGGACTTGATGAGTACAATCTAGTTCTTTAATTCTGCAGATTCTTTCAGAAAACTCATTTAATTCAGGTAGCTGTTTGCTAAGAAAGAAGTAGATTTCTAAGTCTTACACTTGCTAATATCTTTGCATTGTTTATCATAAGTATAATCTTCGTACTTGTTATTTTTAAGGCTGGTTTTACTACCTGGCATGTTTTCTAGTGTCTCTTTGAGCTGCTTATGATGTTAATACTAGTTACTTGCTCTGTCTTATAAACTGGTGTGAACTGTACAGGGGATTTTGAAGAAAAGGAGCATGTTGCTCAGCTAAGCTTATCAGAAAAGAGAAAATCTATCAAAAAGTATCTTAACCTGAGTAACAAAAGCTTGACAAAGACCTGTGGAGGCAGCTCATGGTAGATCTTGGCAGGTGGTGTCAACATTTATGTTGCAAAGCCAGATGCAGCCAGATGGAAAATTGCATCTTTAGCCCCTGAGGTCGTGATGGCATGTCATCACTTCATTTGATCCCCCTGCTAAGTGAGCTTATCCACCTTGCTGTCACTTCTGTTATTACTTTGATTTCCATAATAAAATTAAATTTAATTTGTCTGGTTTGCTTGTCCTTTATTTTTTCCTTAGATCAGAGCTGTTCCAAATTGCTGTGGTACATATGGCAGCCTCTCCAAGCTGCATTTGTAACAGAATTGTGTTATAAGCCCCTTAAACTGGTGCAAAGAACAGAAGGAGATGGGACAAGAGAAGAATTGTAAGAAGCCACTGGCTGTCAGATGGCTGCAGATCAGCTGCTAAGACTAGAGGAGTCTAGGTGCACGTTTGTAGGGAGAGGAAGAGTAACTGCTAAAGAGCTATCCCTTCTGTGGCAGGAGTTGTGGCTGTGACCCCACAAGACTTATGTGCTTTGTGCAAGTCATAGAAATCTACTTGCTGACTTTGGCCCTGCTGAGACCCTCCTGGTAGCCTCGTGTCTCCCTCTGGGCATTTGTATTCCCGTTTGCGGCAGCTCTGCTCACGTCGCTGTTGCCTGTGCGCGTCTGCCTTCACATAGCTCAGCTGGACGAGCTGTGCTGCCCGTAGCACCAGTGACTGGGTAGAAGCCTGAACAGCCTTTGCGCCGTCATCCAGGCAGGCTGTTCAGTGCATGCTATTCTGCATCCCCTCACAAAACAGAGTAATGATGCGTGAGCCGATTTAACCTTTATTTCTTAATGTGTAAATACATGTTTTGTCTTGCTCATACTACTTTAGCATTGACAACTGTATTTTTTCAGCTTTCCTGAATCAGAGGTGGAGCTGTTAGGGTTTCTGGCTGCTTTCCAGGGGTTACCATGCTTTTCTTATGGACAGATTTGCAGTGCTATACCTCAAAGTTTCATGGATATGAGGAGAAATGAGATCCAATGAGGAGCAAGCTAATATTTGATCCCTTGTGATGTGTATTCTTCATTGTCACAACTTTTTGTATGCTTGAATTTACCACTTTTATCCATCACCTGTTCCGTTAGAAAAAAAATCTATTCTTCATTGTCACAACTTTTTGTATACTTGAATTTAGCAGTTTATCACTTTTATCCATCACCTGTTCCATTAGAAAAAAAATCTTTTTTTGTTATGTATTTTTACTCTTAGACACGGAGTACAGTAAAGGAGATGTATTAAGCTTTGTACAAATGCAGTAACATTGGAGTTGCTTAAGCTTTTTATGTACTGTATTTAAGACAACTTCAAAAATTAACTCTTAGATATGCCCATCCATGCTTGCAAGCTTTGTACAAATGCAGTAACATTGGAATTACTTAAGCTTTTTACATAATGTTAATGCTGTAATTAAGACAACTTCAAAAATTAATTCTGAGATATGCCCATCCATGCTTGCTTTTTCATGACTGATTTTATAGAAATTTCTTGAAAAGGTATTAATAGGATAATTCTCATGTGTAAAGGAAACTATGAATTGAATTTCTAATATGGGGGAATCCATTTATGTCACTGTTGATGTCACTTAAATGGAAAGTAATTAGGACCTGCTATTATTGATTTTTACCTGTAGTGTTTCTTATCTGTTCAAAAAAAAAAAAAAATTGTCAAAAGCAGAGCCCAACCTTATCTGCTGTGGAAGTTAGCTGAGTTTTTGGATTATGATTGTGTTTTGCTTTCCTGTGAAAATCTACCAAGGCTCAGTTTAATTGTATGTGTGTATATATATACATACAATTAAATTAATCATTATGTTCCAAAAGGCGTAATTGTCTAAAGATTTAGTTCCCAGTGATTGTATTTCGTTCGGTTCAGAGCATCTAGTGGGGATTATACTGCATACTGTTCATGTACAAGCAGGATGCACACGTGCAACATCACTGGAGTGTGGCTGCATGTGCCTCTGCTGAAGGTTGTGGAGGTTGGTTGTTGATCCTAGGGCGACTTTCCTGGCCCCCGCCTCAAATTTTGTAGCTCTTGAGTTTTCAACTTTACAGCTCTTAGCTTAGTGTTGAGTTGTTGACAATGGCAGACTTCAGTGAATTATTGCTGGTGGTGACTTACAGGTATTTGAAGCAGATGCATTATATACGCTGCTACCTGATGGCTGTCTCAGCTTTTTAACATGTCTTCTCTACCTGAATAATACTACGTTAGTTTCTGTAATATGAATGTTTCTAAGGAGAGTGACTTTAGATCAACAAATTTGCTTTCAACTTGTAACCCCCCTATCTAGATTAAAACTCATCAGTGTTTGCTAGCTTCCTACTTGCTTTGTAGTAAATTTGGATCCCAGTTGGTTTGATATAATTCTTGATAAAAGACTATCTTAAGGCTAAGACTACAATATGTTTAGCTGTTCATGCAGTACTTAATGTTGCTAACATGAGCACTTGCTGGGTGCCTGGGCTATGGGTCCCAGGGGCAAGTTACTCTAACTTTTATTGTCACCAAAGGAGATGGGAATCTTGTTCATTTGTCTTTTGCTTCTGTCCAGCCTCCATTGCAGCCTCCAGAGACAATTGTTATATTATCGTATCTTGTTCTTTAACATATATGTGCTCTGCAGTCACACCTCTGCATTGAAGAACACAAATCTTTATACTTAAGGCAAACCAGTTTCCTAATGGGGTTTATGCAGTCTCTGCAGAAGCTGCTATCTTTATAAGAACCAACTAAACCAAAGTGGACCTGGGTATTTCTAGGCATATTGTATTTTCTTCTCCTGATTTTCAGGCAGACATACCCTGAAAGTCACAATGGTTTTATACCTACGTTTTTTCTTTTCATCTCTCTGTTATAATCAAAACCAAGTCCTTGTTACAATATAATTACTAAGTCTGAAGCCAGCAGGAAGTTGCTGCTTTGTGTAGGGTGTGAAGTTCTCTAAATAAATGTAGGATTAATTACGTTCACAGTGTGTCACTGAGGTGATGAGATTGATTGTTCAACTCTTCCATTTTCTTTCTCCAGGCTTTCTGAATTGCTGTTTTCATTAATACAAAGTAGTGTGGGGCAGAGCTTTTAAGACCTGATATTGCACAAACCTTAGAACTTTAAGGAACTTGAGCCCTTCAGAAACTGGGATAGGGGAGATTCAAGATTGTTACAACC